TCCCTGGCCTATTATACCCGCCGCCCATGGACCACGGCACAAGGAGAGATCGTTTGTTTGTAACGCTGATGGTTCTGAAGTGAAGTGGCACCCGTGAACGGATGTATTTTCAAAGCTTTGGTAAATGGCAGCTCCAGATTCTCGGTTCCTGTTAAGATGGGGGAAAAAAGCCAGCAGAGGGCAGCATTTCTCATCAACACCACTCTCCCAGACTCGGTGCGCTGTGGGTTCAAGGGGCCAGTTGCCTGAAGAGCTTGTCAGCCTTCCACAGGCTGAGCCCTGCTCCACTTATTCATCTCACCTGAAAACCAGGCGGGGCACGGACACTGCTGCAGCCACTGTCCGCATTTGCCGTCTTGGACGAGGGACGCTTCCGGGCTGACAACCGTAGCTCCTGCTCAGCAGAGCTCTGGAAAGCTGCGGTTGGATTTAATTGCCACAGCTGCTGCTGCTGCTGCTTTTTTTTTTTTTGGACATTTCTAAACATTCCCTCCCCCCGCTACATTTGCCATGAAACTTTTCCAGTTTTTCATCAGAAAATCAAAAACCCCAAACCATTTCCTAGCGCCAAATAGCTTCCGAGGCCAGAAGGAACCACTGTGATCTCTAGTCTGAGCTCCTGTATAACCCAGGCCAGAGACCTTCCCCCAAAGAATTCCCAGCTCAGATCTTTCAGAGAAACGGCCCATCTCAACTTTTACTGCAACCCCAAGCTTTTAATAAACACTTCATTTGTATATTTTTGATTTTAAACCAGAACATTTTGAGCCAAATGAAAATTTTCCATGGCCATTTTTGTCTTGGTCAAGTTTCATCCCACAAATATTTCAACAGAAAAATTTCAAGCGGGTGCACTTGTCTCAGGAACCACCTTCCCCTGCCATCCCCTGGTCCTGTTCAGGGCTGACTTTGGCAGGTGCTTCACTGTAGGGCTGTCAATTAATCGCAGTTGACTCACGCGATTAACTCAAAAAAATGAATCACGATTAAAAAAATTAATCGCGATTAATCGCAGTTAAACTGTTAATAGAATACCAATTGAAATTTATTAAATATTTTGGATGTTCTTCTACATTTTCAAAGCTATTGATTTCAGTTACAATGCAGAATACAAAGTGTACAGTGCTCTCTTTATATTGTTATTTTTATTACAAATATTTGCACTGTAAAAATGATAAAAGAAATAATATTTTGCAATTCACCTCATACAAGTACCGTAGTGCAATCTCTTTATCATGAAAGTGCAGCTTATAAATGTAGTTTTCTTTTTGTTTTACCCACATTCTGCCATATATTTAATGTTATAGCAGTCTCAGATGATGACCCAGCACTTTCACTGCAGATTTGACAAAATGCAAAGAAGGTACCAATGTGAGATTTCTGAAGATAGCTACAGCACTTGACCCAAGGTTTAAGAATCAGAAGTGCCTTCCAAAATCTGAGACGGACCAGGTGTGGAGCATGCTTTCAGAAGTCTTAAAAGAGCAACACTCTGATGTGGAAACTACAGAACCTGAACCACCAAAAAAGAAAATCAACCTTCTGCTGGTGGCATCTGATTCAGATAATGAAAATGAACATGCGTCAGTCCGCACTGCTTTGGATTGTTATCAAGCAGAACTTGTCATCAGCATGGACGCATGTGCCCTGGAATGGTGGTTGAAGCATGAAGGGATATACGAATCTTTAGTGCATCTGGCATGTAAATATCTTGCGATGCTACAACAGTGCCATGAGAACGCCTGTTCTCACTTTCTGGTGACAATGTAAACAAGAAGAGGGCAGCATTATCGCCTGCAAATATAAACAAACTCGTTTGTCTTAGCGATTGGCTGAACAAGAAGTAGGACTGAGTGGACTTGTAGGCTCTACAGTTTTACGTTGTTTTATTTTTGAATGCAGTTATTTTTTGTGCATAATTCTACATTTGTAAGTTCAACTTTCATGACAAAGAGATTGCACGACAGTACTTGTATTAGGTGAATTGAAAAGTACTATTTCTTTTGTGCAAATATTTGTAATAAAAATAAATATAAAATGAGCACGGTACCCTTTGTAACTGAAATCAGTATATTTGAAAATGTAGAAAACATCCAAAACTATTTAAATAAATGGTATTCTATTATTATTTAACAGTTTGATTAATTGCGATTAATTTTTTAAATCGCTTTACAGCCCTACTTCACAGGCAGCTGGCTGGACAGCATCACTGCTGTACTTCAAACAGAAATCTTCCCCAGACCCGGCCTTTGCCTTTGCTAGACACCACCTGAGGGCTTAGGCATCCGATGAAGTGAGCTGTAGCTCACGAAAGCTTATGCTCAAATAAATTTGTTAGTCTCTAAGGTGCCACAAATACTCCTTTTCATTTTAAACTTGACTGTCAAAAGTGTACTGAGCGGGAGCTGTGGGTGCCATTTATTCAGGCACCTCTGTATAGCTCTTGTTGCCTAACGTTAGACAACCACGTTTGAAAATGTTGGTGCTGGTGCCCCCTCCCATACTGATTGCAATGTCCTACAGAACTTACTAGGGGTGAAGCCCAGAGATGTCTATGGGAACTGCATAGGGTTCTGTAGAAATGACTCTATGCACCTAGCAAACGGAATGGAGAAAGATCCTTACTGAGGGGGTAGACGTAGGGTAAACTCATAGAATTCTACAGAGGGCCAGAAGTCTCTACTCAGTTGTCTAGGACAGTCTGCTGTGTGTAGGTCTTTAACACTGATCATGAGAAAGGCAGTGAGCTGGGAGAATGCATCTCTCCTCCAGGCCAACTCCTAACCTAAATATCAGCTCCGAGCGTGCTCAGCTGAGTGCATCTGGCAGTGTCGTTGTGACTTCACAGCCAGAGATGGAGGCTGGGACTCAGGTGTCTTTGAAAGCCAAGGAAGTGTTCAGAAAACTCTTCTGGGGAGCTTGATGGTAGCAGGACTTGTGCAGGCTTTAACAATTATGATTCCTTACAGTTCATGTAAGGTGTTGTATCCCGCAGGATCCCAGAGAGTTTCCAGCCAACACATACAGCAATCACTGAAATGCAGCCACTTCTGGAGTGAATTACTGCAACTGCTTCCCAGGGCTCAGTAACGCTGCACAGCTGTTTAGTCCAGGAAGAGAACAATACCTTTTCCAACTGAAACCAAAAGGATTAGCTAGAGGCAGAATATAATTCTTGGCACTGGACCTGTCTGAGATTACACCCCTATTCTTGGGGAAAGTGCTTTGGGCTTGGTGTAACTCGTTGTGTGCCTGAGCCTTTCTGATTTTGTCCTCATATGCTTGTGCTGTTCTTTTATACTCGTCCATAGCAATTAGTCCACATTTCCACTGTTCGTAGGATTCCTTTTTGAATTTCAGGTCATTAAAAAACTCCTGATGGAGCCATATTGACCTCTTACTATTCTTCCTGTCTTTCCTTTGCATCGGGACAGTTTGCTGTTGTACCTTTAATATTGTCTTGAGAAACAACCAGCTCCCCTGAACTCCTTTTTCCCTTAGATTTTCTTCCCAGGGGACCTTACCTACCAGTTCTCTGGGTTTGTTAAAGTCTGCTTTTTTGAACTCCATTGTCCTTATTCTGCTGTCATGCCTTCCTTTCCTTAGAATTGTGCAAGCTATCATTTCATGATCACTTTCACCTAAATTGCCTTCCACCTTCAGATTTGCAACCAATTCCTCCCTGTTGGTCAGAATCAAGTCTAAAATGGCTGCCCCCCTGGTTACTTCCACTACTTTGTGAAACAAAAATTTGTCCCCAACACATTCCGAGAACTTACTGGAGATTTTGTGTTTTGCCGTATTACTTTCCCACCAGATGTCTGGGTAGTTAAAGTCCCCCATTGCTACCAGGTCTTGTGTTTTGGATATTTCTGTTATTTGTTCTAGAAATACCTCAAGTCACCTTCTCTTCCTCATGTGGTGGTCTGTAGTAGACCCCTGCCATGACCCTCTATACCAATATTCCAGTAATGAGACTTATCCCACCAAGTCTCACAGATGCCAATTAAGTCATCATTTATTTTATGTACCAATATTTCCCGTTCTTCCTGTTTATTCCCTACATGCCTTGCATTTGTGAATAAACATTTAAGATGCTGAGCAGATTCCTCCATTGATTTCTCTCTTGCTGGTCCTTTTACCCTATTGTAATTTTCGATGCTCTAAACCCCCACCCCCCCGCCTGCCCTCCCAACATCTAGCCCTCTGTTAAGATTGCATTTTTGGGGTTTACCGTCCCCTCTGAAGCTAGTTTAAAGCCCTCCTCACCAGGTTGGTGAGTTGGCTACAAAGACGCTCTTCCCCTTTTTGGTCAGGTGAACCACTTCTCTTGTCACGGACAACAGACAATGCCTCCAGCACTCCCAAACACTATGATGAGCCACTGGTTCAGAGACAAGGACATCCCATAAGGAGCCACTAATACCACCTAGTGCTCTCCAAGGTTCTCCCGTCCAAGAACGGCCATTTCTAACACCACTTGGCTTGGCAGGCTGGACAGGAAGTCAGCCCAAGATAGTAGAGCTGCAACTGTTAATTACAAAACCCACATTTGACCACAAAGAAAAGGTCTGGGCAAGCTCCATGGGGCCAAAGCCTGAGAGAAAGAAGATTAGCAGAGCTCAGCACTTACAATACAATCAGAGCAACTAATCCTTCTTCCCAAATCCTAAATAGCATCAGTAACGCTAAAACCAGAAATGTCCCCTCTGTTCAAATCTCTCTTCCTATCAGATCTAGAGCAAGCTGAAATGTTTTGAATTTTGATGAACGTTGCTAGAATTTCAAAGTCTGAACCCCCCCAATAGAAAAAAGTCAATGACATTATTGCAGAACTTTCTCCTGTTGTTTCGATCCTCTCCAGTCAGAACCTCACAGTCCTCTTTGCTCCCTTTCACGCCATACTTTGGCAAAATTAAATCAAAGCATCAAGCCATTTGTGACTTGAAATTGTCATAGAATTGCTACTACTCAGCATAAATCAGGAAACAAATATCGTCTGGCGTAGCCTGTGATGTTTATTTCACAAAAGAAAAAAAAGATTTTCATGCATGAACTTTTGGTTCATAAAACAAATTGTTTTCCTGCTCCCTACCTGACAGCCCCTGCGCCACAAAAAATTAAACCAAAAAATAAAATTATCAAAGGGCTGCGAGTTAGCAAAAGAAACAGAACCATCCAAATCTAATGAATAAAAAGGGTTTTAAATTATGGCTCTTCTAACTAGTTACAGAGTTGAATAAATCAGCAAATAGACTTCATACTCTCTAGTTCACATCGGCCAAAAGAATACAAAGTTGGATCAGGACTCCAGACCAGTTGTTTCCAAAATGGGCCTCGGGGGATCAGAGATGTTTGTTGAAGTATCTAATCTACAGCTTCTTTTTATGACAAAGGGGGTTTAAAATATGGGGAGCCTTTAGAACCGAGCTATATAAATATAAAACATTGATACAAACTGATTCTTTGTACAGAAAATATCATCTCACAAGGCACTAGCGTGACAGTGTATCTGGGGGGTGTTTTGTCTTGCCTGGGTATTTTTCAAGCTTGTTTCGAGTGCTGTTGTCGAAGTGGGAATGTTGTTAGCTCTTGAGCGAGGCTGCAGAGAATGCCCACTACAAGCGGGCTGGGAGCAGTGCCTTCTGTCTCGTTGCTGGTGGGAGGCAGACCCGGCAGTGGCAGGGATTATGTCAGGTGTCCTGGACATTGAGTGGTTTTCCTTGGCTGTGGCTGTGTTACCCAGTCATTCGCATCTTGTCTGAATGGCTTTCGTTTGGCGTTGGCCAGGAGGGAATCGCCATAGTGCATAGCTCTCGTGGGATTCGAATTCTCTCTCTGGATCCTTCCCAGGCCCCTATGCCAGCAGCCCGAGCCGGGTCACTTTGGCGGATAGGAATGAGTGGATAATGAAGACAATGGTTTTGGGGCAGGAGTGAAGGTCCAGTTGCTGTAATAAAGGGGAATATTTGCAATGGTCAGTGCTCTGCTCAGACCTCTCAGCCTCCGCTTTGCTACTGTAGGGCCACCCTGCAGGTAAGGGCTGGGGGTGAAATGTGCCGTGAAGTCACGTTGGCGGGGAGAGAGCCCAGGAGCGGGAATTCCTCTTTAGCTGCTTCACCATCCTCCCCAGACGCTGTCTCCCAGGGGAGAGGGCAGTTCAGACTCACTGCAATTAAAAACCCGTGGCCGGCCCATGCAAGCTGATTCGGGCTCGCAGGGCTTGGACTGCAGGGCTGTTTAACCGTGGTGTTGATGTAGGCCGAGCCTGGGACCCTCCCATCTCACAGAGCCTGGCCTCCAGCCTGAGCCCAAACGTCTACACCGCAATGAGACAGCCCCTTAGCCTGAGCCCCACGAGCAGGAGTCAGCTGGCACAGGCCGGCTGCAGGTTTTTAATTCCAGTGTAGACATACCCATTGAAGCATCTGGGTGAGACGGTGAACAGGGCTGGCTGGTGCCCCTTGCTATTGGCTATTAACGTGGGGTGGGAGGAAAGGGTCTGAAACCACTGTGGGTACAGTGGAGCTGGAGGTGTGATTTCCAGCTGAGGCAGACACACCGGTGCGAGGTCTGAGCGAGCTGGAGTGCAGCCGCAGCAGCAGGGTGGGGACCCCCTGAGTGCGTGCATGGGCTCTCCCATGGGATGACTCTTGGGCTAGTGAACCTGGCCCACCATGGCTACATGACCATGGTTAGTGAGCCACCTCGCCTGGAGCGTGCATGTGTACACCCAGCTGGGCTGGAAATGACACCGCCTGCCTCGTTTCACAGCAACGAACCCAGACATGGGGAGCTGAAGCCTGCGGGGGTACCTGGCAACAGGCTGCTTGCTGTCCCAGCACCACACCTCTAAGCCACATGCTGCCCTCACCTGCTGTCCTGCCCGACAGGACCCCGCCCCAACAGAACCCCCACAGAGCAACGTTTTAAAGGAGCAAAACTCCAGCCCAGGATCTATTCCTCGTTCCTTTCATCTCCTTCTAGACATAATACGGGTCGGACCACCCATCCCTCTGTCCCCGAGCCCACCCAGTACCTACTCCCCACGCTGCGCTCCGTGCCTGGGGGAGGCATTGACAGCCCTGAATGCTACCAGCCTGGTTTATCTTTTCTTCAAAGTGATGCAAGAATCCCGCATTGCCCATTGCCTGAGCAGCACCTGTCCTCTGAGATGGAGCCACATTCCCATGACCCCTTGTCAGAGGACCCACACTCCGCCCACCCCTCCCACCTCCCCCCAGAGGGAGCATGCAGCAGGCGATCTCAGCAAGCGAGCAAAGAACCAAGCCAACGCACAATCTCTCCCTCTGCGCTGCCGAAGTCCAGGTAGAGCATCTTCGCCCCATCATCAGAGGACATCTGCAGCTTCTCGAAGGGCTGCTGCAGCAGGATGGTCCTGCTGATGCCAGGCTCTGTGGTGAAGATGGTGAAGCCCTTGTCGATGTGGATGGACAAGGTGCATTCCTGCCCATTCCATGTGCAGGCTGAAAGAGACCAGGGTAGAATGGCATCACTCAGGCTCAGTGCTCCTTTCCCCCCCAAAGTCTCCCCTGCTCCCGCAGCCCCCTGGGTGCAGGGCCTGGAGCTGTACTCATTACAGGGCATCTTGGGGGCAGCTGGGGTTGGAACACCACTCAGCGGTGAGAGCCAGGTGAAACGTGGCCCTGCAGGGTACATGGGACATAGTCCCCCACTGCCTTCCCGATGGGCAAACTGCCCGCAGAGTTCAGAGCGAAGTGAAGCTGATATCACTGAAGATCCCCAGGTGTGGGGTGAAACTGTGATCCTCCACTGGTGGGGAGTGGCACAGTGCCATTGCCCTGCATGGAGCCAGGTGGCAGACATGGCCCACCATGTGTTGCAAAGTTACAGCTCCATCAGCTGTAGCCAACTCTGAAACGTGCCCACCCCAGCCAGCCTCCTCCCCAGGGCTCTCTCTTGCCTCTGTCCCCAGTGCTGCTTTGCCACCCTGTCAGCTGGACACTTTCACATCCCATCTTCTTCCCCCAGCAAATCCCAGCTGGGCTGGGCTGCGGCTGGATTCAGCCTGGGGCAGCCTTGCCTGCACTTGATTCTCTCAGAGATCAGGGGGCCTGGAGGAATTGTCTGCAAGTCTCTGATTAGACCTGGGCAGGGCAGGCAGCAAGCCATCCTATAGTTCGCCACGGATGCCCATGTAGGGCTGGGTGCTCACTGCACGGTGCCCAGCTCCTGAGCTGAAGCTGGCAGGCTCTTCCCCACCTGGCAGTCGAATATTCCCTGTATTATAGCACCAGCCCTCGGTATTCCCTGAGGAGTGTTATTCCCGCTCCTGTGTCCCTCCCTCCAGATCCCCCCACTCACCTTCTGCCAGGTACCCACTGCCATGTATACCACTGCCCGCTGCCCACTGGCCATGCCCCTTGTGCTATGGTATTTGGCACCCCATTCACCCCACAGAATATCACTATTCATGACACCAGCAATTCCCAATGTGGGGAGGCCAGTGTCCCACACTACTCACTTGGGAGACTGACTCACTCTGAGCCCCAGCCGCTGGTGAGGAGAGGATCCCTGTGAGAACAGGCAGAGCACTGCCTTTGAGGGGTCTGGCCTCCCCCACACTGCCTGACCCTTGCAGGCAAGTCTCTGCTTCCCTCCCTCCTCCTGACACTCGCCTCCCATGGCCTCCCCAGTTCCTGACCTGCTGAGACTTCCTGCGTGAACTCAGCTGCGCTGTGACAGCCATCCACCAGCATCCGCGTCCACATCGCCAGGTCCCGGTGCGTCTCCACACTGAACAGGTGCGTCTCCACCCCCTTCTTGGTTCCCGTCCGCAAGGCAAAGGCGAGTTCCGAGTCATAGAGGAGGGAGCCCTTGGACGGACCGGAGTGCACAAGCCTGCATAGGGAGAGCAGGAGACTGGTCAGCATGAAATGGCAGTTGTACAAAGAACCCCCAACACCACTGTCCACTAGTGCAATGGAGAGAGCACCACCACCCTCCAGGAAGTGTGGCCTAGTGGTTAGGGCGCTAGCCTCAGATGCAGGAGATCTTCTCTGCCACCTGCTCCCTGGGCAAGTCACTTAATCCCTGTGGCCCAAATCCTCACAGGTGTTCAGGTGCCTAACTTCCACTGATTCCCAGGGGAGTTAGGATCTGGGGCGCTCTGCCTTGATTCCCTGTTGGTAAATGTGAGGGGGGGGCATGTAACCGACTGGCAGGTGCTTGGACACTGCGCTCACGGGAGCCAGAGGTACAGACACTCTCTGTAAGGTGGCAGGGCTCTTTCACCCTTCATGGTGCTGGTTTCCTTGCTCTGCTTCGCACTGGGTGAAGTCTGAACTGTACCCTGGATTCGTTCATGACAGCTCGCGATGCCCTGTCCTTCTCTAGCCCCTTCCACCTAGGATCTCAAAGCACTTCACACATGGCAACGAACGCCACCTCCCATTAACCTCTGAGAAGGGACGGGACAGGGCATCTGGGGCGGAGCCTGGGAGGAAATGCAGGTGTCCTGACTGCCAGCCCAACAGCTGAGCTCCAGTCCCGCCGGCCCCTGCTGGAGCTGGTGTCAGGGTTTCCGTACCCTGGTTCCATCCAGCACCAACCTGGGCCGGCTGAGGTTTGTACGGTGAAGGAATGAAATACGATTCACATGCCAGTGGGTTTGCAAATGGCGTGAGAACTAAAATGCCGGGGATGGGGGGGCCCTTCAGCCCCTTCTGTTCCACACTGCAAACTTGTCTGTAACAATACCCGGCTGCCCTCCGCTGGGAGAGAGCGCAGGGGGCGTATGATGTGCACACAGGCTCTGTCTCCCCGGGATGCAGTGGGGCACGGGCACTGTAATTCCACTTCATCGGATGCATACTGTGGAAAGTACAGAAGATCCTTTATACACACAAAGCATGAAAAAATGGGGGTTTACCACTACAAAAGGTTTTCTCTCCCCCCACCCCACTCTCCTGCTGGTAATAGCTTATCTAAAGTGATCACTCTCCTTGCAATGTGTATGATAATCAAGGTGGGCCATTTCCAGCACAAATCCAGGTTTTCTCCTCCCCCACCCCCACACACACACATACAAACCCACTCTCCAATCTCTCTGGTCACACGATTACAGACATGAAAGTTGCGATATTACAACAAAAAACTTCAAAACCAGACTCCAGCGAGAGACTGTGGAATTGGAATTCATTTGCAAATTGGATACAATTAACTTAGGCTTGAATAGAGACTGGGAGTGGCTAAGTCATTTTGCAAGGTAACCTATTTCCCCTTGTTTTTTCCTACCCCCCCCCCCCCAGATGTTCTTATTAAACCCTGGATTTGTGCTGGAAATGGCCCACCTTGATTATCATACACATTGTAAGGAGAGTGATCACTTTAGATAAGCTATTACCAACAGGAGAGTGGGTTTGTGGGGGGTTGGGGGGAGAAAACCTGGATTTGTGCTGGAAATGGCCCAACTTGATTATCATACACATTGTAAGGAGAGTGATCACTTTAGATAAGCTATTACCAGCAGGAGAGTGGGGTGGGGGGAAAGAAAACCTTTTGTAGTGGTAAACACCCGTTTTTTCATGCTTTGTGTGTATAAGAGATCTTCTATACTTTCCACAGTATGCATCCGATGAAGTGAGCTGTAGCTCACGAAAGCTTATGCTCAAATAAATTGGTTAGTCTCTAAGGTGCCACAAGTACTCCTTTTCTTTTTGCAAATACAGACTAACACGGCTGTTACTCTGAAACCTGTAATTCTACAGGAGCAGAGCCCTTCAAGCACATGCTCCCCTCTTGAATGGCCTCAGATTCCACCTGTTTTCATTGTCCCTGCAGTATGAGACATTTGCCAGCAGAGACCACTGCAGCACCATGTACGTCTCTCGCTCCACCCCTGGCTAGAGTATTGCTGAGATACACAGGGGCTGATTTCTCTGGGCCCCTGGTTCCTCCCTGGGGGGCACTTGCCTCTGTCCCACCCAGACACCCTTGCAGTCACTCCATCTGGCTGGATTTCAGAAATGTGGAATCATGAACTGAAATTCCAGGAACCTTTATGGCCAAGTGGCAACCCTCAGCAATGGCTTAGGCCCCAGATGCAGAATCCCTAATAAAGAGCAAGGGTTTGGCTAACCGTAAAATGAGCAGCACTTTTAACAAATGTCAGAGACGTGCTTTGATTTTTTTATATGTAAGAGGTCTGACTGGCAGATGGGGCATGTTCAGCAGTTTCTGGGAATCAGGCCTCTTTGACGTGGCAAAAGTTGGGCAGTTAAATCACTAGTCCCCTTTCAAAACCGTAACCCACCTTAATTCCCTGGCTGCGTTCCCAAACAGCAGCCGGGTGCGAATGCCTGACAGCAACGCTGACTAGATACAGACGGGGACAGTGACAGGTCTAGTCTCACTGCAAAGCTTGCAAGCAACAGCATCAATGGTGGAAAATGAAAAGGGAAATAAGCTTGTCGGTCTATCAGGTTTCATAGTCTAAGGTGTCCTTAGTAACCAGGGGAAAGTTTTGCCTACACATGAGTGAGCCTGACCCACTGGTCTGAATTCCCCCGGCCCTTTGTAGTGGGGAATTCAGGATGGTTGCACCCCAAACAGCCCTGAACTCTGGAAGGTGATGGAAGCTTTAAGAGATAAATCTAACTCTGAATTCTTGGCTCTCAGGCTCATCTCCAGCATACAGACTATAAAGTACATGCGCCAGAGTCTAGGAAGGTTTACTGCTGTCAGCACCGCATTGGAATGGCGGCATTACGCAGTGAAACCGTGAGTGAGTTAGATGGGCTGTTCGGAAGGGCACACAGGAAACCCTGCTGGTGGGAGGAGGTGAAACAGCCACTTACTTTATAGAGAAGCCACCTGGGAACGTTTTACGGGGTGAGCGTACAAAACAGGTCACTGTCCCCGCTGGGTCTGGCACCTCTCTGCTTGTAAAAAGCCAGGTTACCCCCGTGGCCGCGGGTCCTACTGCACAATGCTCACGGGGAGAGGAACACGACTCCTCTTATATGTCACAAACCTCTCCAAACAAGCGGAATTAACTTATCAAGAAGTCTCGATACACATTTCACGCCTGACATCTCCTCATCTACTGAGCCCAAAACCAAGGCCTGGATCCTACTGCACGGGGGAATTCCTCTCTCTCCAGAGGGGGGGAAATCTCTGTTGCTCCCTCTCACTGGCCCACGAGGGAAGGTTGCCTGCTGAGCCTGGGGAGGAAATGCCACATTTGGGAGGAAATATTTTTGGTGGCAGGTGCAGCTGAGGTCAGAGTTACTGAGCGGAGATTTTGGAGTGCTGGCTGTAAGTCACATGGATCTTGTTGCCCACTGGGTTCTGGAACCCTGTAGAAATGTTCCTGCAATGCCATGTGGGTGCTCCTTAGCAGGCATGCGGGCTCCTAGCCTGGCGAATGCCCCATGTGGCTGCACAGAGGAATGTGAAGCCAGCTGGTGGGCTGAAGGCTATGCAAAGATCTATCCCAGGGTCCAGCCGAGGCTTCCCGGCTGCAAGGGACTGGGAAGTGATGCCACCTGCAGAGGGGGCAGTGTCTCGAGTCATGCTCAAATGAGGCCCGCTAGCTGCTCCCAGCCCTCCTCCGTGGGAGGGAGAGAGGGGAAATCCCAGGGGGCCTGTGGGGGGGGGGGGTTTCAGGGATCCCAAAATGGGAGAGTGACTTTTGCTGCTTGGTCTCCCAGCTGCCTCAGCCCTGGTGCACTCTCTGGCGTAGGAGAAGGGATCAGCTGGCAATCCAGGCTGTCACACTGCTCCGTCCTGCTCTGAGCGCCTCCTGAGGGACTGATCTGCCACCAGCAAAGTGTCAGACATTGACAGCTGCCAGAAACAGGAGCCCAATGCCAAACACAATGGGGAGCTGACTGACTACCCCCAGCACACACATCTGGGAGGGTCCCCCTAGATTCACAACAGCACTAGTTAACTCTGCTTCATTGGCACTAACCAGTTCTAGTACGGCCCACCACTGGCCACAGCCTGAGTCACCTCTTGCTGGTTTCACGCCAGACCCAAACTCAGGTCTCTGCTTCACTTTGCTTTGCTGTTCAGGGCTTGTCTGAATCTGGATCTTCAAGCAAGACCTGGCCAGTCCCACAGACTGTGGCTGTTCAGATTGATCTGTGACACAGCGCCCGAGGATCATGGTTCCCGGGCTCCATGGCCAGCCCCACTGGCCATGCCGGGGGCCTCGCTGAACACCCTCAGCCTGTTCCCAAACTCACCCCTCCCAGTGCTGAGCACTGCAAACCCCACTCTGGGCCTAACTGTCTGTGGTGCTGCCATGGGGACAACCAACCCTTTTGATGCTGACAAATCTGTCACCTGCGTGGGGCAAAATAGCTCCAGTGACGGACAGGTGAGGAGCAGAGGCTGTGGTTCTGCCACTGGCCGGCTGCATGACCTGGGCAAGTCACTTCACCACTCTCTGCCTCAGTTTCCCCATCTGGAAAATGGGACTACTAGCACTGCCTGAGCTTAGAGATCTAGTGATGAAAGGTGCTAGACGAGAGCAAGGGCTTGCTGGGTGGGGGCTGCCTGGGGCTTTGTCCCAGCACACATTGCTCGGCTAAGGCTGGGTGGCTCCCTGCACCAATGCACTACAGTTTGAGGCAGTGCAGCCAGCCGGCTCACGGCACCTGGTGGCGATGAGAGGGTAGCTGTGGGCTGGCTTGTTCAGGGCATCCCTGGTCTGTGGGAGGCTGCTGTAGAACAGAAGATCCTTCTCCGTGAGGATGGTGAGGATGTTCTTCGTCCCATCACCGGGGAGCTGGAAAATAGAGAGCATGTGATTAAATGGGCCCCAGAGCAGAGGGTGTCTTCAGAGGACAGCTCCCTTCCCCCTGGGCAGAGGGACCTCCGCTGTGAGTGGGGCGAGACTGTACAGAGTGGGCACCTGGGAATGGAAGGGAGGGAGCCCACTGGTCAGGGAGTGCCAGGACGGGGGGGCAAGGATGAGGGGACCGGCTGTTTCCCACAATGCCTCACTGAAGGGGCAGTGCCCCAGGCCAGGGCTTGGTGGCTAGTGCTAAGTGGAAAGGGCATTTCTTGGAGCCAGGATGGGGGCAGGGAAGCTTCAGAGCCAGTGAAGAGAGAGCTCAGCAAATGCCTCCATCCCGCCATGCAGGATGAGCCAAGCAAGGAACATGAGACCAAACTGGAACCCAGCAAACCTCCCTCCAAGCAGGGAGCGCAGCCATGATGGTGGACTCTGCCCGGCGTGCCAGGCTGGGGACTGGCAGCCCGAAGAAGCCAAACTCTCTCTGGACCCACAGGAGGCCTAGAGCGTGGGCTTTCCTGCCAAACTACCTCAGCGTCGGCCTGCTCCGGCTCCAGGGTCTGGCCATTGCTTGGCCTCTCTCTCTGAGATGCCTACTGGGAGCCCAGTTGGGCCCATGGCTGCAGTGGTCTTGATGACGTGAACTCGTCCGTCTGCCAGGGCACGGGCGGAGACGCACCAGCTCATGCCCCTTTCACTTACGCCACCGCACGATGTCTGCTGGTGCCACCCGCCACCGGCCCTGGAGCAGATACGCACCCTGCACTGGGGACTGGGCCTCGGAGTGGATCCAGCTGCAACAAGGCTCTCCGCGACCCCCTCCCCTGCACTGAGCACCCAGCCGGCTCCTCTCTGCCTCACGCCCCGGAACGACTGGGCTCAGCAGCTGTTCAAATTAAACTCCTGGAGCAGCACGAGAACCACCTCCTCTCCCTCCCTCCCCGCGCTGGCCTGGGGCGAGCACCCGGCGGGGTGACGAGGCTCCGGCTCAGCAGCCTCCCTGCCCAGGTGTTCAAACAACAATGAACATTGTGTTAGAAAACGGGATTCTGTGTAAACTCGGCAAATCCTGGTCAGCACGAGGGCTACACAGCCCCTCCCCGATCGAAAGCAGCCAGAGGCGGAGCTCCCAGAGAGCAGTGAATAACAACCCCTTGCGCATATAGAGCGCCACGACACCGAGTGGCATGGGCCAGTCTAACCTTCTGGAGGGCAGCTTTCCAGGGCAAAATGTGGCCTCCAAGAGGCAGCGTAGCCTGGAGGACTGAGCCCTGGCGTGGGTGGTAGGACGCCTGTGACCTTGGACAAGGCATTTCATCTCAGCTTTCACTTCCCCCACCTGCCAAACAAGGCCAATTGCTTACCTGCTGCAAGGGGGAAGTGCTCTGTGGCTCACTCTGCAGAGCCTGGGATAGGTGCTGGATTCAGGAGTGACGCCTGCCTCCCCCCAGTGTAACTGAGATCAGAGTCAGGACCTCCACTCACCTTTCCAGTCTCAAAACTGAAGTGCAAAGACTTGCCCAGGATTACATGGTGACTCTGTGGCACAGCTAGAAAGAGAACCCAGGAGTTCTGGCTCCCAGCCCCATGCTAGGCAATGCTGTTCCCACCCTGGACTGCCCTGGAGAGAACCACAATCTGTATGCAGTGAACTGGGCCCCTCGGCATAGCATAGCATAGGAGATGCTGTTCCAGAATAGGCCATTAGTGCATCTACTCCGATACCCACCTCCTGCCAGACGCTCCTCCTGCCTGACCCACCTCCTGCCAGACCCCCTGGCATCACAAACCGGCCCCTCTGGCTTAGTGCCTTTGAGCACGTCCTGCTAGTCCAATATCCCGCAGACGGCCACCCCACATCACACCACTGATGCACGCAGTCTGCCACTGGGCATGAACCCTCCTGCCATCCAATACCACTGAACTCAGTGGCACTGGCTGGCACAAACCTTATCTCCTGCACTGACAAGATGCTTCTGAGGAAAACAGCCACAATCCCCCAGAGACACCTGACCACCTGTGCAGTGCCCTAGGAGTGGAATAACAGGGCAAGTGGCAAGCCAGAACTGGGTGCATCAGCAGAGCATTGTAGAGGACCCTGTACTGGAGTAACATGACAGTACTGCATTACCAGGATGGCAGGTCAGGAGTGAGGGGCACTGGCAGGGCTGTGAGGGCCCCGGGACTGGAATAGCAGGGGTCTGTGGGTCGGGAGTGAGGGGCATCGCCAGAGCTGTGAGGGGCCCGGGGCTGGAACAGCAGGGGGCTGCGGGTCGGGAGTGAGGGGCATCGCCAGAGCTGTGAGGGGCCCGGGGCTGGAACAGCAGGGGGCTGCGGGTCGGGAGTGAGGGGCATCGCCAGAGCTGTGAGGGGCCCGGGGCTGGAACAGCAGGGGGCTGCGGGTCGGGAGTGAGGGGCATCGCCAGAGCTGTGAGGGGCCCGGGGCTGGAATAGCAGGGGTCTGTGGGTTGGGAGTGAGGGGCATTGGCAGGGCTGTGAGGGGCCCGGGACTGGAATAGCAGGGGGCTGCGGGTTGGGAGTGAGGGGCATTGGCAGGGCTGTGAGGGGGCCCGGGGCTGGAATAGCAGGGGGCTGCGAGTTGGGAGTGAGGGGCATTGGCAGGGCTGTGAGGGGGCCCGGGGCTGGAATAGCAGGGGGCTGCGGGTTGGGAGTGAGGGGCATTGGCAGGGCTGTGAGGGGGCCCGGGGCTGGAATAGCAGGGGGCTGCGAGTTGGGAGTGAGGGGCATTGGCAGGGCTGTGAGAGGGCCCGGGGCTGGAATAGCAGGGGGCTGCGGGTTGGGAGTGAGGGGCATTGGCAGGGCTGTGAGGGGGCCCGGGGCTGGAATAGCAGGGGGCTGCGGGTTGGGAGTGAGGGGCATTGGCAGGGCTGTGAGGGGGCCCGGGGCTGGAATAGCAGGGGGCTGCGGGTTGGGAGTGAGGGGCATTGGCAGGGCTGTGAGGGGCCCGGGGCTGGAATAGCAGGGGGCTGCGGGTTGGGAGTGAGGGGCATTGGCAGGGCTGTGAGGGGGCCCGGGGCTGGAATAGCAGGGGGCTGAGGGTTGGGAGTGAGGGGCATTGGCAGGGCTGTGAGGGGGCCCGGGGCTGGAATAGCAGGGGGCTGCGGGTTGGGAGTGAGGGGCATTGGCAGGGCTGTGAGGGGGCCCGGGGCTGGAATAGCAGGGGGCTGCGGGTTGGGAGTGAGGGGCATTGGCAGGGCTGTGAGGGGGCCCGGGGCTGGAATAGCAGGGGGCTGCGGGTTGGGAGTGAGGGGCATTGGCAGGGCTGTGAGGGGGCCCGGGGCTGGAATAGCAGGGGGCTGCGGGTTGGGAGTGAGGGGCATTGGCAGGGCTGTGAGGGGGCCCGGGGCTGGAATAGCAGGGGGCTGCGGGTTGGGAGTGAGGGGCATTGGCAGGGCTGTGAGGGGGCCCGGGGCTGGAATAGCAGGGGGCTGCGGGTTGGGAGTGAGGGGGCATTGGCAGGGCTGTGAGGGGGCCCGGGGCTGGAATAGCTGGGGGCTGCGGGTTGGGAGTGAGGGGCATTGGCAGGGCTGTGAGGGGGCCCGGGCTGGAATAGCAGGGGGCTGCGGGTTGGGAGTGAGGGGCATTGGCAGGGCTGTGAGGGGCCCGGGGCTGGAATAGCAGGGGGCTGCGGGTTGGGAGTGAGGGGCATTGGCAGGGCTGTGAGGGGGCCCGGGGCTGGAATAGCAGGGGGCTGCGGGTTGGGAGTGAGGGGCATTGGCAGGGCTGTGAGGGGCCCGGGGCTGGAATAGCTGGGGGCTGCGGGTTGGGAGTGAGGGGCATTGGCAGGGCTGTGAGGGGGCCCGGGGCTGGAATAGCAGGGGGCTGTGGGTTGGGAGTGAGGTGCATTGGCAGGGCTGTGAGGGGCCCGGGGCTGGAATAGCAGGGGGCTGCGGGTTGGGAGTGAGGGGCATTGGCAGGGCTGTGAGGGGGCCCGGGGCTGGAATAGCAGGGGGCTGAGGGTTGGGAGTGAGGGGCATTGGCAGGGCTGTGAGGGGCCCGGGGCTGGAATAGCAGGGGGCTGCGGGTTGGGAGTGAGGGGCATTGGCAGGGCTGTGAGGGGCCCGGGGCTGGAACAGCAGGGGGCTGCGGTTTGGGAGTGAGGGGCATTGGCAGGGCTGTGAGGGGGCCCGGGGCTGGAATAGCAGGGGGCTGCGGGTTGGGAGTGAGGGGCATTGGCAGGGCTGTGAGGGGCCCGGGGCTGGAATAGCTGGGGGCTGCGGGTTGGGAGTGAGGGGCATTGGCAGGGCTGTGAGGGGGCCCGGGGCTGGAATAGCAGGGGGCTGTGGGTTGGGAGTGAGGGGCATTGGCAGGGCTGTGAGGGGCCCGGGGCTGGAATAGCAGGGGGCTGCGGGTTGGGAGTGAGGGGCATTGGCAGGGCTGTGAGGGGGCCCGGGGCTGGAACAGCAGGGGGCTGAGGGTTGGGAGTGAGGGGCATTGGCAGGGCTGTGAGGGGGCCCGGGGCTGGAATAGCAGGGGGCTGAGGGTTGGGAGTGAGGGGCATTGGCAGGGCTGTGAGGGGCCCGGGGCTGGAATAGCAGGGGGCTGCGGTTTGGGAGTGAGGGGCATTGGCAGGGCTGTGAGGGGCCCGGGGCTGGAATAGCCGGGGAGGGGGCTGCAGGTCAGGACTGCGGTTCACTGGCAGAGCTGTGGGAGAACAGTGGGAAGCACAGAGGGTGCAAGTGACAAGGGCTGAGCTGCCCGGCCAGAGCTGTGCGGTGAAGCGTGCGCAATCTCTTATCAGCAGTACAATTCGGCACCGAAGGACCGTACAGACCCGAAAGGCTGGGCTACCTGCTCAGTGAGCCAGCCGACGTGCTTGATCTCTTTGCTCCCTGCAACACCGGCTGCCGCCAGCAGGGCTCTCAGCTCCTCTTTGACTCTGGGCACTAGGGCGTTGACGTTGGTGTGAATGGCGTTGAACCAGGACTGGGCAGTCACTTCGTCTTTTGCTCTCAGGAAGAGGGGAATCCGCCCATCTGCCGAACAGACTTCCAGGTACCTGTGAAGAAGGAGCCCCCGGCAGGGCTGGTTTGTGGCCAGGATCCGCGCAGCGGGATGGGGCACAGGTAGCTGGGGCAGCAGGAGGCAACTGGGCTTGCTCCAGTTCACACTTTCCCAGTAGAGTCCAGGGCTTCAGCTTCTGCCTTGCAGTCACCTGAAGTGCTGGCATCTCTAGCTGGGCTGCACCGACGGCAGGAATACATGCAAACTGCAGACCAGTCAGCCACCCCAGTCCACTGCTGCCCACGCGCCTTCAGCGTCTGGCAGCAGCGCAGCACAGGGGGTCCTGAGCAATCAGCCTAAACCTCTCCCAGACGCAGGCCTAGGGATCCCCCCAGGGCCATGTTCCCAGCCCTAGGAAAGGGACTGCCGTTAGCACGGACTGTATTCGCTCAGACGGCAAGTGAATTCAGAAGCCACTTGGAGCTGGCTCTGACTGGCGGGCTCAAGTTCTTTGCCACGCGCTGGGGACGATGCTGGGTGCTGGGACACCGCCCAGGAGCGTGAGCCCGAAGGGGCTCATTGCTCGGAGTTGTTTTTCTGCTCACTAAGCCAATCAGAGAGGAGACTTGACGTGCCATGGCTGATGTGAGCAATCACTCACCTGCGTAACACGGGGGAAGGACCCCGCTGGCAAAAGGACCCAGCTGACAGGGCTGGGTCAGGCTGCTCAGCCAGGGTCGGGCAGGGAGACGATCGGGTCAGATTTCATGAAAATGTTGATCAATAAAAGGGCAAAAACACTGAATTTTCTCCTACATTCCCGCTGGAATAAACCCCGGGGAGGAGCCAGCCCCGCCTGGAGACTCAAGCCCTGCTCCTAGCGCTCGGCTGGGCCAGATGGGCTAACGTGAGCGGGACACTCCCGACAGGCAGCCCGGCTCCTCAGCGATCGGGAAGTGACGGCTCTGGCTGCTTCCTACCTGGCCCATCACTAACATCCAAGAACTCAACAGTGAGAGCAACAGCAGCCTTGTAGAGCTAAAGCCCAGTGTGAAAGGCCTCCGAATCATAGACTGTCTGTCCCGGGTACCCGTGGAGCCTCTGTCACCGCAGCACCTCAGAGTCAGGCAGGGTCTGAGGCCCGCGTGACTGGGATTTACCCAAGGAGTCTGTGGCAGAGGCTGGCATTGAACCTTGGTCTGCCAAGTGCCAGGCCACCAGCTCAACCACTGGGCCACCCACCCGCTCGCTTGGGAGAGCCCAGGGTTCCCGTGAGCCCGTGGCACTGGGCAGGTGGGGTTGGGAACGTTTAGTCGTTCTCTTTGACTTCTCTTTGCTGTCTGGAACAAGCCCAGCAGAGACAGGGCCGCAGTGCCCTTGGCTTGCCCATGCTAACGACATTCTCTCTGCTGTGCATTTGTGCAGCAGCACATTCATTCTCCTGGACTGTACCCTGTGTAAGGGCGTCCCCTCTCAGGCATTACCCAGAGAGACCCCAGACCTACACATTAGCCGGGCGGACCGAAAAGCATCTGCTAGGGGTTCTCATAACAAATTGTTTGGTGGCCTCAGAGTATGGCTACCAACTCTTGCTGGAAGCCGCTCTGACCATTTATCCAAGCGGGAGCCCCACTGTCCCAGGCTGAGGCCCAGAGCCCGCCACTGGAGCCCCGTGGCTGGAGCCAGGTGGGGTGGGAGTGGGGAGGCTGAAACCCAAAGCCCCAAGGCTGAAACCAGGGAGGGAAGGGCGCTGAAGCCCAAAGCCCACTCCTGGAGCCACAGCACGCTGGAGCCTGAAGCCTACCCATAAAGCCTCTCAGCCCCTGGGACGGCGAGTTGAGAACTCCCCAGCTGTCTGCGGAGTTGAAGGTTCCTCTCCCAGCAAGCACACACACCGGTCCCACAAGTCTGCAGAGGCGCTGCCTGGAGCCTCCAGGAGGCTGCCTGGTACGTGGTGCTGATCCCCTGCTTATGGCACCAGCAGACACCAAGGCAGCGCATCCAGGAGCAACAGCTGGACTCTGCAGGGGAGAGTCTCTGCACCCCCCCAGCTCTGCCCGGGAGGCTGTCGTGGCCACAGAAAAATCCCCTAGCGGTCGCCTGCGGCCATGGTGGCTGCATTTTAGAAACAAAAAGATAGAGCCTAGAGAACAGCAGCACTTGGGTCTCTGTCCAACTCAAACCAAGGGCCAAGAGCACTGTCCCGCTCAAGTGCAATCCCTGGGATCTCCCTCAGATCGGATGTACCCCAGCCTGGCTCCACTGACTTCACAGGAGTGACTCTGGATTTACAGTGACTTCAATGGGATCCTCACCAGCTGCATGCCAGGGCGGCTGTCGAGCACAGCACATTGAAGTGCCGGGTGATGCCAGAGGCCAGGAACACTGGCAGTATGGGCCCCGCATGGCAAGGGACAGTACTCATTGGGAACTGCACATGCAGCCTTGCCCCACTGGCCCATGTGGGACTGCCAGGAGAACAGCCGAAGATCTGCAGTAATCAAGTGTGTGTGTGTTGCGGGGGGTGATCCATCCACTCCCCCAGCTCCTCACTAGCTCTTCCTGAGAGACCGTCTAAGTCTGCCAATCCCTACTCCGGCTATGGGTTCGAGTGGGACACAGTCTCCTGGGCGGAGCACACCATGGGGCCTGCGGGGTCATGCTGTGAATGGGGGCACGGATCCCCTCCTGGGCGAGTCCCCCGGGGGCCTGGGTTACCTGTTCTCTGGGTCACTGGGGAGACATTTCCTTGACACATAGCACATTTTCAGAGGCATGTTCTTCCCTTCCTTGAGGTCACGCAGGGAGAGGATGGGCGAGGCTTGCTTCTGAAGGGAGACAGCCGGGGACGGGTCCCAGCTGACGGTCGCCCCGGACGAGGAGTTCTTGAAGTACGGCGAGATCTCCTTCATGTATTTCACTGGAACGCAGAGAGACACTCAGGGGCCAATGGAACAAATCCCTCCCAATTCCAAGCACTTCCCTTCACTGCCCCCCTCCAGGGCTACCCCGGCACCTGCACTGCACAAAGCCAAGCCGCCTCGGAACCCCCCGCAGACGCGGGGCGGCAGGACACAATGTACCCAGGCACTCAGAACACCCCGGGGCTGTTCTGCTGGACCTTGCAGTCCCATCAGCCACACCCCGCCCCACAACCACCCACTGACAAAGGCCACTTTGTAATGAAGGGGATTGGCCTCTGTGATCACACTCAGCCTCTGCTGTCCCAGCCACTGGTTCAGCACCAAAGCAAACAGCATGCACACAGGGGCAGGTCTGCACATCCCCAGCACATTACCACAAACCATTCCAAGTGAAGTGGCCGATAAACACCTCTGCAGTCCCAGGATAAAGGAGAGTTAGCGGGTTACACGGTGTTGTACTGAGACATAAAACCAGCGTCTCTGCTGAGTCCGTGGGTTTGGGGTCTAGCAGAATTATGAATTTAAACTCCCAGGCTCCTCTGTCAAAGGTGCTGGGCAGGTTTCCTTTGTGGATGAGGACTGAGAGGTCACATATAGAGTGACAGTCCCCCCCTTCAGTGAGGAGGCTGGCTGGCTGGTAGCAGGAGTCCAGTGGTGGGGCTGATCCCCAGCCAGCCCCAGTCTGCCCCCCAATCAGTCCGGGCTCCTGGGGACAGAGCCAACCCCTCCCGGCACTATGTGTGCTCCCCTTTGTCCATGTGGGGAGGAGTGAGGTGTCGTTAGCTTCTGCCACCAGCAGGCTCTGGCTATTGATTGGACAGACAGACAGACACAGATAGCTAATGTGCTCCTTTATGTTAGAGGAATAGCACAAAGGGGCCCTGGCCTGTGACTAGGTCACCTAGGGGCTACTGTAATACCCATGGCTATCACAACACCGCTCACAATACTCGTGCAGTGAAACATGCTGTGGGTGCTGGTGTGTTTCATTCTTTCCTTCGCCGACCTCCCTCCGCCCCCCGACCCCCCCAAAGAAACAAACTGTTTTCTTTGGCTTAGGGAAGAATCCCGAGCCCTGGGCTTGGCCTCATCTGACCATGAGAGCAGGACAGCATGTGGTTCACCTACCCAAGAAAGCCGCGAATGTCCTTTCAGAGGGATTACACGCGTCCAGGGACTAGCTCGTGAACCTGGAACTGCTTCGGAGCAGGCAGCCCTAGAGGCCCAGGATGGGTTTCACCGGGGAGGGAAAGTTATCATTCCTTTGAGGCTTTTTCAAATTGCCTTATTTCCTCCTTAAAGAACCAGCAGCATAGAATCATAGAAGATTAGGGCTGGAAGAGACCTCAGGAGGTCATCTAGTCCAACCCCCTACTCAAAACAGGACCAACCCCAACTAAATCATCCCAGCGAGGGCTTTGTCAAGCCAGGCCTTAAAAATGGTCCATGTGTAAGGCTCTGGAGCTGCATATCCAAGGAAATCTGCCCATCCTTGTATCTCCAATGGGTAATGTTGGTGACTGGTTGTGGGCATTGCCTAATGCTGCTCAGATCAGGTCGCGGTGTCCCGGGGCAGAAGACCCAGCAGCCAGTGCACACTAGTTCTCTCACTTCGGCCAGCATCAGTGTCACGGCCACCATGGGAGAAAATCACAAACCATTCAGCACAGGGGCATGTTTCTTTAGTGTCTCTTGCTACTCCAAAGCCCAGGGGAGTCAGCTCCCACCCTTGCTGCAGTGTGTTTCTCTGCACAGGTAGAGTATGCAGAGGAGGTGAGTTAGCTACTGAACTTGTTCACAAACTTTTCCCCGGTAGGATTCACTTTTAAACACCCCTAGGGCAGTCTGCTCCAGGAAGTTCAGCTGGCACAAGCAGGCGTCAGCTGGGTTTATTTTCCCCATTTGAATTCCTCTCCTTGCCCCAGTCTCCCAGTCTCTCCTAGGCCACCTGCTGCTCCCACACAAGAAGCATGTCAAAGCCGTGACAGTCGAGTGGCCAGACCTTAGCCAAAAGGGGCTCACCTGTCTCTCACCGGCAGCCCATGTAAGTAGCTGTCACGGAGTCCCTGCGCGATGCTCTGGAACTGCTCCCCATGAAGCCAGTCAGGACTCTGGGGCAGTCTCCTTTCTGTGAGCAGCCTGTCTTCAGGACACAAAGCTCACACAGCTTCCACCTTCCTGGGCCTGACCTCAGAGCATTCAGCATCCTCTGCCCCTCCGTGTGCTTCCCACAGCGAGTCCGCTCAGGCGGGGCTCCTGGGGAAGCCAGAGGGTCCTGCACCCCAACTTCACAGTCAGACGTGACTCTCAGCCAGCCAGTAAAACAGAGGTTTATTAGACGACAGGAACATGGTCTAAAACAGAGCTTGTAGGTGCAGAGAACGGGACCCCTCAGCTGGGTCCATTTTGGGGGGCAGTGAGCCAGACAACCACGTCTGCCCTTCACTCCATGTCCCAGCCAGCCCCAAACTGAAACTCCCTCCAGCCCCTCCTCCTCTGGGCTTTGTTCCTTTCCCGGGCCAGGAGGTCACCTGATTCCTTTGTTCTCCAACCCTTTAGCTCTCACCTTGCAGGGGGGAAGGGCCCAGGCCATCAGTTGCCAGGATACAGGGTGTCGGCCATCCTCTGTGTCCAGACTCCTGCACACACCTGCCCTCTAGGGCTCTGCAATGATTATACACCCTTACCCCACCACCTAGGTACTTAAGAACTGCATAGGGGAAACTGAGGCACCCCCACAATATTCGGAGGAAACATTAATAACAGTCCCACTTCGTCACAGTAGCGCCTTTGTGTGTTAGCCAGGGTGTACTTGTGTCTGGGTACGGTGTGCATGCAGCATGCCGGTTTGACACCCGTGTGCGCGTCTCAGCACTCTGCATGTGCCATGTGCACGCGTTCCCAACTGCTGTCCGTGCGGCAGCATGCCGTGATGGGCTTCTGCAGCCTTGGGGGTGGGGGAAGAAACACAATGCAAACCAAGCGGAAACTATTTCAAACCAAGATGCAGCCCTGCTTTGCCAGGAGACTGGACTCGCAAACTTTCCCTCACTGCCTCTGTGATCCGAGGAGCCACTGAGCGGGTTCAAAGCTAGGCTGAGAAAGAGAACGCTGAGGAAGTGGGGCCAGCGTCTGGCACGCCGGTAACTCAGTTATTGCTGACACTCATTCCCAATATGTCTGATTAATGTTCTCGCCTACGCAGGCTGTTCTCAGACCACCAGCCAACAGGCAGTTCAAAGGCACTGGGACGCCAGCCAGGATTGTTCCAAGTACGGCCTAGCAGAGCCTCTCAAACCCTCCGATTGACTGGCCTGGCTGAGACGCAGGAAGAAGAACGGCTTGTGGATGCAAAGCAGTACATCTGTATTCGCTTTCACTGGGAAAGGATGTTGAGCCGGGAGGGTAAGAAATTGGGCAGGGGGGTTGTACATTCAGCAATTGGAATAGATCAGCGAAACGCTGCCCTGTAAGGGGGGCTATTTCAAAAAGCTAAGGGATTTCCACAGGCTGGCACATTATAATCATGTCAAAAGAAGTCACTGTGGTTAATAGCGTCGAACACCTCTCTCCCCCCCGCCCCAAGCCAGGTGGAATGCCGAGCCGCTCATTGGGCATGTGTGGCAAGTGGTTACAGCGGTGAACTAGGACTCCGCATACTTGAGCTATGGTATCCTTCCTGCCACTGACTTGCTGCGTCACCTTGGACAAGTCACTTCACCTCTTGATGTCTCTGCTTCCTCATCCCCAAAACGGGGAGAATAATACTGTGAGACTTCATTCAGTCATATTTGCAATGGGCTTGGAGAATATAGACTGGAAGGCGCTACAGAAGTGCAAAGAATGACTTTTATGCAAACTCAAGGACAATAGCAGGATACTGGGCTAAATGGACCTTTGGTCTGACCAAGTATGGCCGTTCTTATGTTCTCACAACTCCCTTAACATCACTATCCCTGTCTGCTCCCTGCTTCATGTGAGGAACAAACACTACCCACAAATTCTCGATGCTCCCTCTGTGTCCTGAAGCTCCTGTACCCTTCACCCCCAGATATCAGCTCCTCCAGGCACTGCCTTCCTGCAGAGCTGAGACCAGACTCCTCCAAAGTCCTTCCTTGGTGCCTGAAACTCTGTCTTCAATCCCAGCAATAGAGATCTGAGGGCGAACACAGAGCTAACCATGAACTCTAGGGATTTATCTACTCTATGGAGCTAGTCCAGATATAAATACTGTGCATGCCCCTGTCACACTTTCAGGGTAACTGCACCTGTATCCTCCCCCTCACCCCAGGTGCCCACTCCAGGAGGGCCCAGTCAGGTCTCAGGTCTCCAGCCGTCACCTGTCTCTGGGCAGGGACCCTTGTCCAACTCCCTCTGACCAGGAGGTTTGAAGACTGCACAGAAGGCCTGTCTGTTTGCAGGCTGAGAAAGAAGGTTCTGAGTCTGTTTGAATCCAGCCTTTTTTCCAGTCCAGCAAATGGACAGGACCTTCTGTCCAAGCGGGTCCCCAACCTTGCAGAAGGGCTGGACAGCCTTGGCCTAGGAGGGCTCCATTACACTGATGCATATGGGATCTTTTACTGCTCTGTATGTGTTTTTTCTGTGAGGCTTTTACCTTATGGATAAAGGTGCTTGCTCATAAAGAGCTGGGTGGTCCCTTGTAACTGCGAGCAATACACTCTGCCCGGAGAGAAAGCAAATGCAGGGGCTGGCCTCGAGGCAGACTGCCTTGCTGGGGATATCACAGTGGAAGGCAGGGAGCGGGGCAGCCTTAAATCCTTGGTCAGGAGTGCAGGAGGCAGCTCTCCACCCAAGAGAGGTGACAGCTGGGAGCCAGAAACCTCAAGTGGGTGCACTCAAGGAATCACGGTGGGGAAATTCAGGTGCAGTTACCCTGAACTGGGACAGCCCCTGGTAGAGGAGCAGCAAGGGCACACTGCCTATCCTGGCATAAGCTCCAGGATACTGCCAGTGTGGGCCAGTAAATCACTGCCTT